CTTGCAATTAGCTGTGAAGAGTTATGACCCCAGGCCTCATCAAAAACTAAATTCCTGGTTTGAATCCTGGTTTGCCCTTAGCATGTATTTAGCTGTATCAGTACCATACCCGTGTCTGTGGGTTTCACCAAAGTGATAACATTTCTCTGTTCACCCAGCACAAAATGGGTACCCGGTGGGATAAGTCATGTGACTAATAACCGTCTAGTGCCTCACAGGAAGCTTGGGTTATCCGGAGTAATAATAGTCTCATTGTAGCGCTTTGAGCGTGCCCCTCTGTGATGCGGACTTCAGCACATTACAAATGCCCGTAATATGATTATAGTTATTGTTATCGGTAACCTGCATTGTTTTAACTTTCCTCCCGTCTAAAGCTGACATGCACTAATATGACCAGAATATTGTTCAAAGATCATTAACCACATCTTACTTACTCACTAATGCACCATAGTACAAACTTCGGACAGGACCAAACAAATGCATGAAGACGTCCCCTGAAGCTTCATTATAAGTGGAATTATGTTAAAATCTGTCCCCAATATTGAATGCTTAAATCTTTCAATACCAATGCTTTCAATACCCAACGTTAGTGTTAACATGTGGGGCGGTGGGGTAGCCTAGTGGTTAAAGCGTTGACTCGTCACGCCGAAGACCCGGGTTCGATTCCCCACATGGGTACAATGTGTGAAGCCCATTTCTGGTGTTCTGCGTAAAACTAAACTCAGTCAGTCATTCTGGTGTCCCCTGCCGTGATGTTGCTGGAATATTGCTAAAAGCGGCGTAAAACCAAACTCAGTCAGTCAGTAGTGTTAACATGTGGGTAAAAAGCACCAAGGATCAAACATATATCTGGAATCTTGTCTATCAGGCATGGCCTCCCAAAACAGGACCTGTGAGATAAAACGTTTGATTCACTTATCTCCATTTATCCTTTGTCTGTTTGATGATATTATGTACATGTTCCAGAATGATCTCACATGATGTTAAAAAAACTCAGTTTATAATAGAAAATCACATGATTTAAAAAGGACGTATTTGCAGGTTCCATACACATACAGTATGTACCTCGAGCTACCTCATTAGCTGTCCTTGATGTAGGGTGCTGACAGAAAATCTTACTTATCTCACACGATAGCTTTGACATGACTTGGCCATTAACCCAGGAAAATAGCCTCACAAATCACTGTTAATCCCTCGTACATATACACCTTACACATTCTTCTGTGGCTAGGAGTCTAGAGTTGTCTTCCCATGGCACACAATGTTTGCAAGCACCACCCAAATTTATCCATGTTATATAGATATAATATTGGTAAATTGATTTTAAGAGCCATGTGGATATTGAAATCTTGGTGATAAATGTTGAAGTACTTAGTTACCAATAACAGACATGATATGTACATAACACTTATCGAATGTCATTGATCTATGACAGTTGTATATATCAAATGTGTTATGCTGAAAGTGACGACACTTCAGTGAATGTTGAACTGCCTTTGTTTCGAGTATCAAGCTTTAGATATGAGGGTCATATTTCAATCAAATGAGTGTCTGCTGTGTTATAAACTAATCCAATGCACGTTACATTGTTTACCTGTCCATCAAGTAAACATGTCAATGTTTGTTGCTTGTTTCATCTGACACACTGAATTAAGAACCTGTCCTGAAAACAATTATACACTTTAATATATATGACAGTAAAGATTGTGATTCAGTGCTCCCAAATTTGCTCGAGTGACTGTATTTTAGTAGATTTCAAAAACAATCGAAACCTACTTAAGAGTAAATTTCCATGCATGTTTTAGTTTGTCCTTTTCGTTTTTACCTGGTTACTTGGTTGTAGGTTGCTAATTAGGAGATAAACACTATGTGTTGGCCAATTTCGTGTGTTATTGAGTATTTGAAGCATGGGAATTCTTCGGAACCGACGACATCAGCTGGAGGTTTCAAATGAAATATTCCCGTGCTTCAAATACTCAATAACATCTGAAATTGGCCAACACATGATGTTTATCGACATTGTAAACACAAAAGTAAACCAAAAGGCCCACATAGGTTTTACTGTCTGCACTCATTGACATCGAGTACGGGTACGGTAGTGAAGTGTTATCAGCTGGCCATTTCAGCTGGTTCCCATTATCGGTAGCATCTGGAACTGCTCATTTGTGACATCATTCCGACTTTACGTCACAATATGATTTGAATGACGTCACCACTGCTGACGACGCAGCAATACAATTGTGTGCAGTATTTGTACGTGTCAATACGCAGCGAATAGTCTTGCAATTTCGGGGAATCGAATGCCATTCGATCATGTTTTTCAGTTTAATGAACATGGTGACTTTTTGTTTACAATTTGTGTTGGAGCCCACTGATGTCTGTGTCAGGGGACAGTTGAAATTTATTGTTTGCTATGTTGACTTACTCAATTTAATTGTCGTTGTATTTCATACAAAACTCCTTCAAAAACAGACATACATACAATGTACCTGGGTTCAATTCCTAACATGGGTACAATGTGTGAGCCCATTTCTGGTGTTGCCTGCCATGATATTGCTGGAATACTTCTAAAAGAGTTGTAAAACTAAACTCACTCACTCACTGACTTAAACCCCTTATATATCAATAAGAAAAAGAATATATATCTATTTATAGATTTCAATTCTGCTGTCTCTGCAGTATGTTATTTGCTGAACAATAGAATGGGATTATTAGAATAGAATTCAAGAATGTATTTTTTAAAGATATAATTCTGTTCTCTTCAGGTAGAATTGATGTTAATTTCTTCATAATTGTTTTATGATATAACTTGTATGTTTTCTTTGTTTCAGTTAAAAACAAAGCAAGAATACACATTGAAAGTCAAACATTTTCTACCTCCTGTGGTAAGTTTCTTGTGGTTATCGTCTGATTTTCTTTACAAAATGTCCGCACCGTGTTTTTTTTCCAGTTTTAAGTGAGGACACATTTTCTGGAAAAAATGACTTGCAATAACCTGATTATCTCTGTGTAATTTCAAGCATGGAGTAGTTGCAGTAAAAAGACAAAATCTTCAAATTGAGCTATTTTGGAAACAGAAATGCTTTGTAATTGAGTTCAAAAGGAGGTGCCTAATGCTTGCTTTAAAATTGTGAAAAGATATTATCAGGAATATATCCACACAAAAGGCTTGCTGTAATTGTTGAACCTTTTCAAAATCTTGGCACCGAGTTTGGAAAGATAATCAGTTGAAAACTCATATTGAAAGATTCTGTGATTTTTACAGTCGCAGTGAATGCCATTTACCATGCAATGTACAATAACTACCCGTCAACAATATGAAACATGAATCTCATAGTCTCTATAATTGACAAACAGGCATGGAAAGGTTGAATAGTACTAGCACAAACTTGAGGTGTTGTTGTCAGTAATTGCTGTTGGCGCCGGTCAACGTACAACATATTGATTTTCCCATTACAGGATTGTGTTGAAAAACTCTTGATCAGCAAGTAGCTCTGAATCCACTGTTTGCTAAGCCTAACAACTCACATTGATTATCAATAAATATAGGGCCACATCGAGCAACTGTTGTTTTTGCGATAGCCCTGTTTGTTTCCGAATGTTTCTGCCTACGCTTGTAATTTGTCAGTTTTCCTTTACAGGTGATTGCTCTAAGAAGGAGCATATTACTAATATGATTTATTGTTGTATTTTGTTTATGGGTGATTAAGTAATTGTTATGTTGTATTTATTGGTGCCCCAGTACTGTTAATGCTTGTTTTGACATAGTTAATGTGTCAATTAATGGTGATATACAGACAAGGGTAGGAAACATTTCCCTTTGTTATAATTAATTTTAATCTTAATCTGTTGGTCTTAAATGTCAGTAGGTCCTTTGATAATGGCTAGCCCTGGGGTTCAGATGCCATAATGTACTTTGTGGAGTTTCACCCATTTATCCGTTCTGGATCAAATGTTTGTGGATTCAGATGCCAGATTTGATGCAGTTATCATGGAGTTATAATTCATACAAAAATTAATTATTAATTATTACCACTACAAGCGATATATTAGGAAATATTAGGAATGTAAATATAAAATATTAGTTTCATCACGATACCGTTATGCTACATTAAAATGGGTTTGGTCCGTCAGCCCCAAACATATCTGTTCATAGGCTTCACCCTAATTCATACACCTATGACTTATTCATGTAGGTTTAAGTCTAGCACCTTAGGGCTTGGCTGTCAGAAGCACTGCCATTAACTGTGTAGAGTTGCATATCAATGGCATGCTACAGACTTATGAAAAGGATTGTCTGGATCTGTTTCTAAGTTTCTTAGCACCGTGGCTTGCTCATGATGCTTGTGGGGGTGGTGGGGTAGCCTAGTGGTTAAAGCGTTGGCTCGTCACGCCGAAGACCCGGGTTCGAATCCCCACTTGGGTACATTGTGTGAAGCCCATTTCTGGTGTTCCCCGCCGTGATGTTGCTTGAATATTGCTAAAAGCGGCGTAAAACCAAACTCAGTCAGTCAGTCATGATGCTTGTGGGTTGCGCTTTAGTACAAAGGCCTCAATAAATTTGGGCTTTCCTCCCAAATCAGTTTGATGGCCGCCACTATGATATGAATGAGATGCTATCCAAAGCGGAGTTTAACAAATCCCCTCACTCATTCACTTACGAAGCATATTAAACTGACGTTAGTAAACTGGAAGATTGTTCGGATAGTTGTAAACTCCCTATTTGTTCTCTCATTAAAGTTGACACGTGATAGAACTGAAATACTATTTGAAGAACTTGCTCAATCACCCTCATCTACAGGCTTATTCTTTCGATTTGTTATTTTTGAGTGTTGATGAGAAGAACAAACCCAGTTCACTCTCATATACAGGCCTACAGTTTTGATTTGTCATTTTGTAATTGTTTTTTTGTGTGTGTTAATGAGTGTAATGCCAGCTGACTCACTCACTCACTCTCATATACAGGCCTATGCTCCTGAGTTGTTTTTGTTGGAAGCATCCGGAGATGTTTCATTAGCCAGTGAAGGGGACTCCCGGTCCCAATCCTCATTCCGACAGCTCGGTGACAGTCCCAAGGGAAACAACCGGGGCTATAACTACCGGGACGATTACCGGGACCCGGGATCCCGAAGTTACCGAGATGACAAATACAACAGTGAGTTCGGGAAATGTATTCTGTTGAGTTTTTGAATTTTGAACGATGGTTAATTTGGTTGGGTTTTCTGTTGAATGTCATTGTTTGATTGGTTTCATTATCATTTACATTGGATCTCTCATTGGTAGACAATGTATTCTTTCATTCATATACAACTAATCCTTATTTCCAAACAACAATAACAAAAGATGTCGCTTAAATGAATGATATCAAGATATGATTTGTATACATTATTTTATGCTTCATCACGGATCTTGCTTCAGCCTGATGAGAAGATGTTCACTTTCTCTGAGAGTGATTTAGGAGTTTTATGTTTCTGAGATGTGATTATTTATTGTCATTGAACAGATGAAAGAGTGCTTATCTTGAGCTTCTTTTACAGGTACATATTTTTTGTAAGTGATAAGTAATTAATTTATCTTTTTATAGATGGTAAATTGTACATTTTCTTCTTGATTTGAAGATGGGACAAATCGCTTGCCACAAAAATATCCACGTTTGGGTAAGATTGGTTATAATTTGGTTTTACTCCAAATGTACGCTGAGCTTTCTTTCATTAATCAAAATGGCTGACTGGTTGATGTGACATATATTCCCTACTTGATATCTTTTTCAGGTTTGAAATGTTTCGTTTTGAAGATTTTGAATTAATTCTAACAAAAGATCTTGAACAGAGATGATTCGGGAGCTCATCTTTTATTGATTTATCTAATCACATCTTTTACTACATCAGACACTGTCTCTGCTGGTTAAAGGTTACTAATGAATACAAGGAAGCTGAAGAAATGATGAGAAATATTCATGGATTGTCAGTATGTGTGAAGTGTTTTTGATGAGTACTAAAGGGAGATAACTCATTGCTTTCATGCAAAGTTAACCTTTATTTGAATAACAAACTCAATCAAATCATAATACACATATATATGTGAAAATGATATCTTTTGTCCTTGGGTTCACTTACACTGTATCACTTCAATTGAAGTGAAAATATATATAGACGATTCACAAGATAGTTTGGGGATGTATTATGGCAAACCTGGATATACATTTAATTGGGGAATGTCAGTGTTTGTTTTTAAATAACAATAGTTGGATAATAATAATTGTATGTGAGATGATATAGTGTGTATGCATATGCTTTAATTATACAATAACACATGAGGAATAGTTGCTGCTGTCATGCAAGGTTAACACAGTAAAGCAATTATGCTATCAAAACATGCTGTTTCTTCAAGTTATACTTCATATGGTCTCATATTTCAAATTGTCTCATTCAGTCCCAAATCAGTCCCAAATCATGGAACTAAGTGTGACAAAGCTTAAGTGGTTCCGGAATCTATGTGGGGAATATCTCAAAAGCAATAACTTTCATTTTTGAACATTTGGCCAGTATTTGTAAGAGGTAATTTAGAAGGTGTTGTTTAGGTGTCAACATTTCGTGAATCAAGGGATAACCAGGTTCTTCTGTGATCCCACAGTGGGATATATGAATGGATGAGTTAGCTTTGTCACTGGAATTTGCTATGCAGGGTTGCTTCCCTTGTTTGTGCCAGGATCCTATGATTGATGGTTGTATTCCAAGATTTGATCTGATTATGATTCAGCACCATACTCTCAGCCCTGCATCATGTGAAGCTTCAACCTGTAGCATGATGGCCGACATGCCATAACTGAAATTGTGACCTCAGCAATGTTTTACTTACTCACCATACAGTTACAGAACAGATATCTCATTGAAATTAATTTTAGAATGTTGATGTATTGATAGAAGACAATCTCTAATTCATGGTGAACTTTAAGCTTAGGAATTAACATTACCTAAAGGCTTTTTGAATCATTTTGCCTAGCAGCATTTCTAATGCTAAACCATTTTTAAATTAAATGCATGAAAATGTGCTTATATCACAATGAAGTTGAGTATGTATTTTCTCAATCTGATAATTTCTTTTGTGGGTTTGTAAATTAAATGGATCGTTGATGAAATGGGAGACATTTTAAGGAAACAGTGTATTAACTCACAAGTTCTGTTATTGTGAACTAGAAGTAGTTTTACTGACAGACTTGTGATAATTTCAGTCTACATACCAAAGTCCAATGTAAGAGAAGACACGGATGGTAGGGACAATACTTTCTTTTCAATAATTGCATATTTACACATGTAAATTATAGATCAGATGATCAGTTACTGCTTTCGTAGAAGAAACTTAGCTAGATCTTTCCTTTACACATGATCATAACAGTCCAAATATGCAAATAACCGTAATGTAAATAGATATAAATGTAATCAATAAGGATGTAGTTCGCATGTTTTGTTTGGAGATGTTAAGATGGCAATACGTATGTAATTTAGTTTTCACTCAATCCACAAGAATAATTCTTATCTTTGGAGGAATGGTTTTCATTTATGAGCTAACTTACTTAGATTCTAAGCTCTATTTCTTTAATCATTTGGAATTTGTGTATTTTTTTCTCTCTCCCACAAACTGAAGATGAGACTGATCGTTCACCCACAAAATACCGTCAGGGTAAGACTTATAATGAGCTAGATCTTTCCTTTACATATGATCATAACAGTCCAAATATGCAAATAACCGTAATGTAAATAGATATATATGTAATCAATAAGGATGTAGTTCCATCGCATGTTTTGTTTTGAGATGCTAAGATGGCAATACAGTATATCCCATGTATGTAATTTAGTTTTCACTCAATCCACAAGAATTGTTCTTATCTTTGGAGGAATGGTTTTCATTTATGAGATAACTGACTTAGATTCTAAGCTCTATTTCTGTAATCATTTGGAATTTGTGTATTTTTTTCTCTCTCCCACAAACTGAAGATGAGACAGATCGTTCACCCACAAAATACCGTCAGGGTAAGACTTATAATGAGCTAGATCTTTGCTTTAGATATGATTATAACAGTCCAGATATACAAATAACCGTAATGTAAATAGGTATAAATGTAATCAATAAGGATGTAGTTCCATCGCATGTTTTGTTTGGAGATGCTAAGATGGCAATACAGTATATCCCATGTATGTAATTTAGTTTTCACTCAATCCACAAAAATTATTCTTATCTTTGGAGGAATGGTTTTCTTTTATGAAATAACTGACTTAGATTCTAAGCTCTATTTCTTTAATCATTTGGAATTTGTGTATTTTTTTCTCTCTCCCACAAACTGAAGATGAGACAGATCGTTCACCCACAAAATACCGTCAGGGTAAGACTGCTTACATTCTGACGTTATTAGTCTTTGTTATGAATTTCAGTCAGAGGATGAAGATATTTGAAATGAAGTATTTTCAAAAGGCAGCTCATACATTATAGAGTAAATGTAATGATATACCTAAATAAAAGAATTAAAACAAAAAACAAGACTTTATATTGCCTTTCCAAATAAACATGGTGCTTCACTCAGTTGTTGATAACTTGTAAGGTTGTTGGAACTCAGTTATTAGTCTTTTTGTTATGTAAATTTCAGTCTACAGACCAAAGTCTGTCGTGAGAGAAGAGACTGGCGGTAGGGACAATATTTTTCCTTTTTGTTTTTGTAAATTTAGAGATGTACATTGCTACTCAAATTGCCCCTGTTTGCTTCTTTAGAAGGAATTTATCTCAGATTTACCTCTGGATAGTCTTATGATATAAAGTAGACCATATACAAAGGGAACAACAATAAGCTTATAACTGGTATTTAGTTTTGTTGAATTTAGCTTTATATGTTTTCTATAAGATGTGCTTGTGGGTGTTAAAATGAAGCAATAATATTGCATCTAGTCGGAATATGGTCTCTGATCTTGTCTAATGACTATTATGGTGTCATCTGTATAAAATATTTTTCAGTTGCAAAATAGGTTAGAAGTTTTTAGGTGTTAAAATGAAACAATAATATTGCTAGTCTAATGACTATTATGGTGTCATCTGTATATAATATTTTTCAGTTGCAAAATAGATTAGAAGCATTTTATGTTTCAATCATAAAAGCCTTTTTATTCAATATATTTTTCTACCCCCAAATAAAGATGACACAGACCGATCAAGAGACAAATATGTGAATGGTGGTAAGATTCAAAGTATGCTTCTAGTTTCATGATTTTTTAACATATTTAGGCCTATTGGTGTACTTCTCACAACTGAAAACACCAATGTTACTTGAAGCTTCCAAAACTAATCTTTAAGAGCATTAATTGATAGTGGAATGATGCAGACCATGTGTTATGAAGATGAAGTCTATTTAGCAGTTCTTGCATGCATTGCACAGCAAATGCATAGATAGATCGAATGGAAAGAATGAAAATAAAATGACAAAATTGATGATACAGGTCTTTAAGTTTATTTTTGATGTTTTTTAAGGGAGATAATTGTTGTCATTTATATATCGTTGAAAGTTAATGAATGAATTAAATGAATTATACACTTGTAGAGTATTGTTTCCCACGCTGAGCCTGGTACTACTATCATCACTACTATTGTCAAATTATAATAATTTTCCTATTTTGACATAAAAAAAATGGTTTATCCTTGTGAGGCTGAATATTTTGTACAATTTTGTAGCACCTTGTAGTCTTCTTGAAAGTGTTGTGTTGATTTCAGTCGTATTATCAAGCCCAAATGAAAAGGAAGAAACTGATGGTATGGATAATGCTTGTATCATCAGATTTATAAGAATTTACAGTTCTCAAGACAATACTTTTCACTTGTCAATCTGTTATATATCAAGCATACAAGATATACAAATTACAAAAGTCATAATTACTAATGTGTTATAACAGTGTATTTCCAGGTTGAAAAAAGTTAATAACTGATCAGATGATATTCTTTGAGTTTTTCACCTTAAAGTGACTCTTAAACATAGTATTAGATATCACTGCCAACAGGATCTGTTGATAACTATATTGTAAAAGTTTATTTATTTTTGACAAATCTTTTAAAAAGAGTCTTTTTTAGATGTATTCACTGCTGGTGTGTTCATTAGAACTTTGGAATTTTCAAATA